ATTTTTGGGCGTCCATGAGCTGGCGCCGTCTGTCGGTAAATCTCGAAGCGATCTTACAGGCTGCGTTCCCATTTCGTCTCACTCAGTGCAGTATCCAGTGGCCGCCATTTTGCTGTATACTGCACTGGAGAAGCGTTCCCAAATTACTGGACTGGCTAGTGACAATCGTACCTCGTTCAGAATAATCACAACACGTTAATAAAAAAAATCAATGTGTACTGAAAAAATAAAATTATGTACAATAATTATATACAATAAACATTATATACAATAATTTATTGTTTTTAAATGTGAAGTTATACAAACAAATAATCGGTATAATCGTTATAATATTTAAAAATAACGCTAACACTTATTAATACATTGCTAATTGAAATATTTACTTATCAATATAATAATCTTTACTGGCAATAATTGCTTCAACACTATTTACATATTAACTAACAATTTTATTTAGGTTATGAGCTAATACGTGTGCGAAACTGTCACTAGCCACTAGCCAGTCCAGTAATTTGGGAACGCTTCTCCAGTGCAGTATCCAGCAAAATGGCGGCCACTGGATACTGCACTGAGTGAGACGAAATGGGAACGCAGCCTAAGGCAATTTTACGCGAGTTTGAATATGCCTTAAGGTAGTTTACGCGAATCGATTATAATCGATTGCATTATGCTTCATTCGAGATCATGTGTACCAACGTGAGAACGATACTTGCTCACCAATCACCTGTAATGTCTACTGCGTCTAAAGCCATTTTCGGTTTATGTTGCATGGCGTCTGTCGGAATAATAGGCTACGTGCATTATAAGCAGGCATACGACAGGTAATACCGCATTACGATATTTAGACACTCGACAGTTGCATTACATACTGCGTTGCATTTCAGGCAGCAACTCCACTTGGGTGTGATACGCGACATTGAACGACAAGAGCGTCGAAAAGCAGAAAATCTCTACGTTCTGCAGCAGCAAGCCGAATTAGCCAAGGAATTGCGCAGAGGAGAATTAATTCGAGAATACGACACGTAATGCGAAGTTGGATTCTGTCACTGAAGGATTTTCGTAGATTGAAAGAGAGCCGTACATGAAGTACATCTCGTGTCGTCATTTTGCTACATTTTGTATATGAGTCAATCGCCAAAGTCTCTCTAGGAAATCTTGTCTAAATTTTAAATTACATGAACATTATGGCAACTGATGAACCAGCTGATCAGACGGGTAAGTTTGGAACTTTACAAATAAAACGCAGATGTAGAAACAATTTTGAAGTATTACGAACAAATTCAGAAGTTATTTGGAGTAATATTTGCATTTGAGAGTTACGATCATATTTTTTAAGATATATATATATATTAATAGTATTTAAAATATATTGATAATATAAATACCTTTTTAAAATAATTTTGAGTCAATTTCTTCACATAGGCTTTGTCTTCATAAGTTCTATATATCTATATGATACGTCTTGAAAAAAAAATTACAAATTTTTAAAACTGTTTAACTCTCCAGCTGTATCTAATGTTCAATTTAATTTTACATCTATAAATAGTTTATTTCTTCCATGAAATAGTCTTATTTTATGCTATTTTGTGTTGCATGTTCTACATAATGCAAATAAATATTGATTATTCAAAAAAATACATAACTAGAAGATTAAAATATTAAATTTTTTTTTATTTTAATTAAATTCTATTAATTATGCATAAAATATTATTTGAATTAATTTATACGAACTTTATTGTATTCTGTTTAATGCAATTTGCAATTATTGTGATCAAGATGTCAAATAAAAATAAAATAATATCGTAAAGAAAATATTTTAAATGCAAAAAGTTAAATGAGTCAATTTCTTTTAATAGATTTATCTTGCGTAGAAGAGAGTCTAATGAGTTTAGAAAAATTGGATAGAGCATCTCCCGATTTATGGCCTGAACAAAGTGAGTATATTTTTCAGAAATATTGTTTGAATTATACCTATATAATACATTATATATATATTAGCAAGCAATAAAGTTCCAGGTATGCATGAGTTTGTTGCTCAAAATTCACCGCAGACAGAACCATGTTTTTGGACTGCAAACCTTTCACCGGAAGACATAAGTCGTTTGCATCGTGAGTTGGTACATATTAACAAAAAATTCTTCATCTTTTATTGCTAAATATCGTAAAATATTTTCTTGCAGAACTGGGTAATTTGACAATGACCGGGCTTATCTCGGAAGTGAAAAGACTGCACGATGTAGCTTATCAGCTGGGTCTAGAAGAGGCTAAGGAAATGACACGCGGCAAATATTTAAATATATTTAAACATAAATAATATTTTGGATTCTCGGGGGGGAAAAAAAAAACAATAAAACTTATAAAAATACAATACCAATCAGTATTTCTGAGAAATCTTAAGACGCATTTGTACGATCTTAAGAATTTTCTAAAATCCATCTCGCATATCTCTGTACATTTATAAATGCAGATGGAAAAACGGTATCTGAGTCACAGCTAGACCCATATGATAGGATTCCAACCTGATAAAAGAAAAACATATGTGGACTACATCTGTAGTATATGTATATGTTTATGCTCGTGACTTACCAGGAAATATGTGTCCGCATATTTGTACAATAGAGGACTTCCGCTGTAACCTGAACAAGGTTCACAGTTTCCTTTGGCGCATAATTCAACAGACAGACCTTGGCTTAAGTAGTCCGAGCATTGCTGCTTAGGTACGAGTTTTAGCTGTAATGACTGTTGCGTCGTTGGCTGTGCTGGATCACAAGGGTTATAGCACTTGGACGTTACATGAACACTGCTTTACAGTTTACCGCTTTACGATAGTTTGTTCAATTAATACAATACCTTTCTGACCGGATAACTTTCCCCAGCCGGCAACAGTGCATGTACTTCCTAAACTGACGTATCTGTCTTCCGGTATAAAACAAATCGGTTGCGCTGTGGCTGAAGGACACCGAATATATATTGTATCATACTGAGATTTGGTCCTGAGAGCGTTTTCGGATGTATATTTAAGAATTGTACATACCTGTAAAATCGATGGCCTTCTTCAAGCGAAGCAAGGCGAGATTATTGGAAAATGTTGCGGCGTCGTAGCCCGGATGTTTTACCACATACGATATATCGTGGCTACTGGTTTTATGTCCGCAAAATAACTTGTTGCAATCCGGATCTGACTCTGTATTATGTTCACCAATGAGCACAGAGCACCTAAATATGGAAAAAGGATTGTGTTATATAAAATATCATTGCATGCTTGCGATTCAAGATGGTTATCTTGAGAAAAATCGAAAATCTTAGAAACGATTATTCGTTATAATATATTTTCGACTGCTGTATACTTACAATCTGTATTTGTCCGATTTCGCGAGTGCGCATGTCGCTGTAGTTAATACTGTACGCTCATTAACAATCACGCCATTGCACGAGTATTTGATCTCACCCGTTAATGTATCTGAAAACGAATTCTTGCTAACAGACTGAAAGCGCATGTTTCATATAATAAAAAGACAAGAAATACAACTAACTGGTCTTTCGAATAGATGAAATTAAGTTAGTATGCCATGTACATGATGTCTCAGAAGTCGCAATTTCATTCACAAATTCACCATAAAATCGCCAATGATATAAAAATGTTAATTTTTTATATCAAGATTGAGACAAAATGGACAGCTTCTGGGACATTCTGTACACCATGTAATTTCTATGCAATATGTTTCTATATGCGCGTAAATACTTGCTTATGAAACCGATCCTTGCGACAAAAGGATACGATCCTAAACTATCTACGTTATTCGAAATAAGACTCTTTCCGCACTGCAAGCTCGAGGATGATTCCTTCGGATTCACATCCAGACTTGTATATGTTGGCTGTTCGAAATAAGTGGCCACGCTGCAGCAAATTTTCATGCGTGTTCGATCGTACCCACACACAGCTTGTCGCAATCTGCGTTCGAAAAATCCACGTATAAGTGTGCGCGCGTGTGTGTGTGTGTACCGATTAACGAATCGAAATTGAAGAGACAACGTTACCTGTGAGCGGAGAGCTCGTTTCGATCCATTAGAGTCGCAACTGCCGGGCAGTGTTCGATGAATGTGCATCTCTGATTATTAGGACAAGAAAGGGAATTATTCTGGCATGTGAAATATTGGTACCAAGCGTGCTCGCACAGCTCCGAAGTTACGATTGGCAGTAAAAGCAGTAGCAAGAAGCGGCGCATCTTCGGAATACAAATGCAAACGACACGGTCGCACTCTCTTAATGAGAATGAAGAGTCACTATTTTCGTAAAACTAGAAACTTTGGCGTCCACCAGTTGATTCTAAGAAACGATCTAGTGAGAAGATTTTTTCCATGAATAATTATCGTCCTCCCTCGGGCTTCTCTTTTCTAATTCGTTGTCCGTTTCGTGTGAAAGCGCGACCGCAAGATTAATGAAGATGTATTTCGATGCTTGGTCTCGCGTTTGCGACCAGCATCGTTTGCACCGGATGATGAACTGATTTCGTTGCATCGCGCACCTGTACTTTGTGCGCGATAGACGATTTCGTTTCTCTCGGTTACCTTGACTAGAGCATTATTCGTACATCCGGCGGAACTGCGATTATCATGCGAAAATATATATTACGCGACTGATGCGCGAATGTGCGCTACGCTTCGTTAAGAGTTCTTGACAAAAATAGCATTGTTGCAGAATTGTTGTCATCTTTACAATATGAGCTGCATTTAAATCAATCATTTAAAAAATTAGATTGCCTTTTATTTCAACGCAGTGATATCTGCAAAATACAATGACATTTGTTAATAAATTATACAAATTGGGAGAAAATATTTTTATCTCGTTATATTTCTGTAAAAGCGGTGGAAAAAAATATGAGAAATAGGTATTTTGTGAGATATATTTACATTTTTTTATTCTTTGAATTGTGTGTGTGTGAGATTCACCTTGCGTATAAAATTTGTTAATATTCACATAAAAGAACCGAGATAATAAATTATTAAGTACTATTTCCATAAAATTTGTTCGGCATACTAAAATCATTTCGAGTGCATTAACGAACTTTGCTCGGTGTGTTTCTTTAATTCTTGCGTGAATAGGGAAAGGCTTTAGCAACGTGAGTTCCGTCTTTCGTTCCATTCGATCGCGGTCTCGATGATGCCGGACGATCGGACGAAGTCGACGGCGACGATATTGGCGGTATGTTGCCACTTGCTGTTGTACCAATTCGTAACGTTAAAATTAACCGTCTCCGCCATTTGGCGGATGCCTCCGAGTCTGTTTAAGATTACGTCCCACGTGTTGGGCGTCAGCTCTGCCATCGCTGATCTCGGTATTGATCTAGGATACCTGAAATGGGAAGCGCGATTAGCAAGGATAACTGTGAAATGTAGAATAGGACAGCACAGCCGAAAAGAATTTTGATTTAGGCGGTCACAAATCTAAACCCAGCTCAGGTAAAGCTTTGCATATCGGAGAATTTTCGTTTTCAGGCGATTCAGGTAGATAAATAACTCAACGTACCCGAGACTTTCTGTTTCAATACGATTCAGGTAGTTGAACAAGTCTTCGATGGTCCTGACATTTCCCCATTGATGCGTCACGCAGGGCCACACGCTTTCATAGCGACTGACGACCCGCTTCTCGTCGTAACCGATTATAAGTCTTTTCCCAGACGACCAGATCGCATTCAGCGTGCTGGTCCACCCGTGATAACTTTTCGGCAGGTAGTAGCCGGCGAATTGTTCTTCGAGAAATCCAATGAAGTCGTGATGCACTCCCAGATTTTTTCCGAAGCCTGGTCACACCGCGCACGATCAGCAAAAGTTCTTTGTTACAACTTGCGATATATTTTATTGTTAATTTAGAAAAAAATCATATTATTGATGATTGAAAATATAATACGAGAGAGACATCGCAAAAAGGAATCATTTCATATTGAAATATTACCGACGGGAAATTCCTGGATGTCGAATATCACGACCTCGTTCGTGTTGTCGAGGAAGGTTTTCACCTGATTCACCACATTTTGCATGGGAACAGACCTGTACACACCGTGATTCGCCCACCATACCGAGTCGGTGTTGGGATAATGCCCGACTCTGATGTCCAGATAACGAACCCCGTAGATCAATTGCGCGAGTACGTCCACATCCTGCAGTTTAATTATCCTAACGATTACCAGCAACGGTTATTCCATATCTAATTTTTATTTTAGTGTGTAAACTAACGACTCCCAGACTCTTTCGCTAACTATTCGCTAACACACGTATCTCGACATTCGAGCCGAGCAGGGAGAAATTGACTCGAAATTGATCAAAGAGTCTGAATATCGAAGAGTTTATCCCGTAAAGAAGAGCGAAACACACGTACGTCTTGTACTCTCGTTGATGTCCGACTTGCGCGTTTAACGCTGCCTTCGTTTGTGTAGAAATACTTCATTCTCCGCGCAATTTATAAATTTACCTGAGTGATCACGAATCTCTCGACGAAGTTCTCAAGATTCGCTCGTCTGTGTATCGCGTACGACGCGGAATCGTGTGTGCCGGGCAGGAATACTCGGCTCATCGGCAGTGATCCCAGGATTTCCTTCCTCTCCGTCATCCAGTGAGGCTGCGTTTGCAGACAATTTGTCAGTCTTATCGTGCCGTTTCTCAGCCAGGCGACGTGATACTCTGTTAGAGCGAGATTTGTGTTCTGTTAGTGTTCAAATATACGGTCTCACACACACACCGGTATAAGTTTATCGCGAGGGAAAGGAAAAGTAGATCGAGGCAAGTGGCGATCTTTGAACCGAAATTGTGAAGAGTAATCAATTTTTGCGAAAAAAAAAATTTCGACAGACTAAGCAATATCGCCTCTACACAATGACATATAAGAAATATGAAAACAAATTCATTTCGCAATTTCGCAAATGACAGAGGAGATTGCGGCTCTCATAATCGCGGCTTTTGCGCTTAACGAACAGCCTATATATCGAAATTATGTAACTGCGAGACGTCGCGCACGTACGTAGGCATTGTCGAACGAACGTGAGATTCGAAGTGGGAACGAACGTGGCCTGCAGTCCGGTCCTCTTTATACCACTCGGCGCGTTTGGTACCAGGGTATAAATTGGCTCGAGGCCGTTTGCGGGTTCGCTCGTGTAAAGAGCTATCGTATCGCCCGGTCGATACTTGGCGTGGTTCCAATAAATCTCGATCTCTCGTATCATTTTAATGGACATTATGGGCGAGATAATCAGGCCGATGTGCGCGCGTTGAAAGTCTGTAAAGAAAAAAAAGAAAAGATGTTTACAGGATGTTGGATGAAAGATCCGTTTGACGCGCACGTCAATAATCTCCGTCGAAAACATGTAGGATCGTTCCTTTGCCAAGTAAATCGTGATGAGAATGTTGTTTCCTTCGATGAGTAAAAAAAAATATGACGCTAAATGGAACACTTGAATAATTCAATATATCTTGCTTGAATAATTCAACACAGTACGGTCAATACAAGAATAATTCGATAGTCAATTGATTTAAGTACTGCATTTGTTATTACGAGCTATATTAATTAAACATAATTTTGCAACTCACCGTCGCCGCTTTCCGAATCGCAAAATCTGCCGGTTGAAACGCAATAGACGATCGTCGACCAAGAGAAGAGAGCGAGAACGACTGTGAGTAGCTTCATCTTCGTTCGTGTTATGCGGGAAACCTCGTTAGTAAGTAAAATCTATCCGCCTCTTCAGGACGTTGACATTCCTCTGTGCCTCCTCAATCGTTTCAATTCTTTCCACGAAGCTAAGAGGCTACTCACTACAAACTGCTGCAAAAGACGTCGGCCTTCAACTTCGATCCGACTCGTTTCTTATGCACGGCTTGCCTTCGAGATATTATCGCATCCATGAAATTCACGGACTTAAATACAATTCGTTTCAGATAAAGACGAACCGCATACGTCGAGGTGATACTTGAAATTTTTATAGTGACGAACAAGTGAATTTTTCTCTACACAATTTACAACAATATTTGATGTGGGAATCGCGCTAATAAATACATCTGTTGGAACACATTTCACAGAGCTTAACACGTGTAAAAGACGTCTGCCTGTTAGCACTCGCATTAGCCGCGATACGACGATTAGAAAATAATCAATCAATTGAAACGCGTGGGTAGCAGCGGACGGCTCTCCGTTTCGAATCTTCACGCGGTTCGGCGCACTCGTACCGCTCTCCGTTGATAAATCGTGACTGATCGCCGTACGTGCGATCAAGTCAAGTTGTGCAAGTTCAAGAACGTAAATGTGGTGAACGTGATGACGACAGATTCGCGAGAGATTGCTACCGAGAAAAACATACGCGTCAGTTAGAAACGTCGGCTGTCAGTTTTTATCCGGCCGTCTGATCGCACAACTAGCATGTCGTTGTGACAAAATTACGAAAGCGTGGCCTACATATTGTCGAGCTTAAAAACAAATCCTCTTCTTTTCGACCCAGTAATTTCACTTGACGTTCTATTACATAATTAATGTAGAGTGATTCGACCGACTTGTCGAGAAAATATTTAGATCTCACATTTCTGCGAGTCGAACGTTATGAAACGAAGAAATTTAAGAGGACTTTCTCGGTTATCTTTCGATTGCAGCAACTTGCTTACGTAGAACGTAACACACATGTGGTTGATGGCGATTAAGATCGCTGGGGCGGAAGTCACCAGGAAATTACATA